TGCTATTAAACAAACAAATACAAGGAGCCAATTTACAGTATAAGAGGGGCATTTCTTCACACTTATAAAGAGGCAAAATTATATTTTCATCCCGAGAATTTATACCCCTATTTATACATGACAAAACCTTACTGGCCTTAGCAACTGCAGATTCACATTGCATATTGCTGCCTAATATGTTGTCTATAACAATTCCCAAATCCTTCTCGTGTTTGGTTATCCCTAGTTCACTACCATTTAGGGTTTAAATTGCTTGTGCATTCTTAACCCCAAAGTGCATAACTTTGCATTTCTGTATGTTAAATTTCATCTGCCATTTTAGTGCCCAGTCCCCCGAACTATCCAAATCCATCTGCGGCAAAGCAATATCCCGCTCAATTTTATTACTTTATAGGTGCAATCCATCACGACTATACAGGTTGTACCCAAGCGCAGAATCGGCCCACTGCTCTGAGTTTTATACCCCACCTCCTACAGAATGTAAGCTCAATTGAGCAGGGTCCTCTTCAACCTACTGTTCCCGTAAGTTCTTTGTAATTGTCCTATTTATAGTTAAATCCCCCTCTCATAATATTGTAAATCGCTACGGAATCTGTTGGCACTATATAAATGGCAATAATAATATTAAAAACCCAAAACTCTTTCCTATCCAAGACTTCAGCCACGCATTGACCTCTCTAATCTCCCGCTGTCTTTCTGCTGTAGTGCGCTGCACAGGTAATATTTCTGAAAATATTACCTTGGAGGTCCTTTTCTTTAGCTTACTTATTAGTTCCCCCATTCTTTAGGACCTTTAATTTTCCTTTGACTTTGCAATTGGTACCAATATGGACCATGACAGCTGGGTCATCCCCAGCCCCTCCCAATAATCCCTCCACTCTGTCGGCAACATGCCAGACCCGAGCACCCGGAAGACAGCAAACTGTCTGGTTGAGTCGATCAGAGTGGCATCTACTCTCTTAATAATAGAGTCTCCTACCACCACAACCTGTCTAGACTTTGTTACCGTCTCAACTCCACCCGTACTAGAGGGGCTGTTCCCACGGCTGTTAGAAGAAACAGCTTCCTGCAGTACAGCTACTCCTGAGCTGATGCTCACAACATCTTCAAAATCTTTCCTCTTCCCTCCCCCTCTGCTTTCTTGCCCCACTGTTACCCCACTGATAGTTTTATAATTTGGTATATGTCAGGAATATGCCAAATGCATGTCCTCTTGTGCAGTGATTACCGCATGGCAGCATGTGCCTCAGCTAGTGTAAGTTGGTGTAAATATTGAAGGTTTAGTTTAGCAGCTTGAGTGTGGTAGGCTTAAGTTCATTTCTTGATGTCTGCTGCCACCTTAACAACGCATGGAAATACATAATATGCACTTTAGAGGGGGTAGTCTTGAGAGTAAAAAAAAAACAAAATATATTTAAAGTGTCCATAAAATACATTTGACATTGTACTATATTAACTATATTGACCTTTTGTACTCATTGATACGGATTGTATTGGGAGCAGATCACAGAAGGATAAATGGATTTATATATTAGAAATTAGATTCTTGTCTTAAACATAATAAATCATTCTGCTTGCTTGACTTCCTTTTTATAATAAAGAATTGCCTATTAATTTTTTAAATTTCATGTTGCGTAAATTTCCACGTTAATGCTATTACAACATGATCTAAACATAAAGAATTTTTTCCTGGCTACTGTAATTTGTACTTGTGTTATCATGGCGGACTTAGTTTAAAGCATTGGCAGGTGTGTACTTAATACACTTTGATGAAGCAAAGCATCCCAATGCACTATTGTATCATGAATGAATCTGTTGTTGGCATTCTTACCCTGTGTCTCATTGCAGCATTATCAAATAAACGATTAACAGCCAAACATGATTTTTGTGAACTTTTGTGGTAGGTGCTATGGCATATTATCTCGTTTTTTTGCTTATGTATTATGGTCTGTAACAAAGGTTTCATCATCAAAGCTCATAAAGACAACCCTGTCACACACTTCCCTGGAGCAATATACCCTGATTAATTAGGAAAACTACTTGAGCTTTCCTCCTTTGCTAAATTATATCAAAATCTGGCAGATTATAAAGGACGCAGCTGAGAAGTGTATAAGCCAGATTTGCTCCCTGCAGCCAGTCTGTCCCACATGGCAGGAAATGTTCCTTTTACTATGGAAATCTACAGGTTTTATATGCTAGTAAAATGCTGACCTTATCTTTTGTAATAGTAAATTTCATTTTTTACTGTGTCCAGTGAGGCAATCCAAATATCACGCGTCCAAAACAAGCACACATAACGACTTATCTCTAATCAAACCCACAGTCTATGATTATGTGTTGGTGTGAATTATGTTTCTAGACCATTAAGAACATTTCAATCTATTTTCACAAAAGTCACTGCAGACCAGGTGACTAAAATTGCTTGTGGCTTATTTTAAGAGAATTGTTCAATTTTTATATGTAATGATGCACAAAGCAAAACTGATTTTGATTGTGCATTGCCTTATAGCAACGTAACAATCTGTATTGCTGTAAATAATTGCATCTAAGTATGAACAAAGGAAATTAGATTGACCATTTATGTGATGTTACTCTTGCCACTCACTGGTAATATACAGTGAAATTACAAAACATACCATGCCTGAGTTGTAAACTAGTGAATGATACATCTGGAAATAGGGTCTAAGACAAGGATTTTTATAGCTCAAAACAATCCTCTAGTTTATTGCTAATTTACTTTCCTACATTTCTCTTCAATTTTTTTTTTTCCCTTCGGCGGTCTTCTTATCTTCATTTTTACAGTATTTTATTAATCCTAGCTCCATTTCCTTCTTCATCAATTTTGCTCACCAGCCACTTTAAGTTTTGCTTGTCTCTCCCCAAGACTCCTTTACATATGTTTTGTGTACTTGTTTAGGCAATTGTACGTGCATGTAAATGCATGGCATGGGATTATCCTTGGTTGTCCAGTGGAGGAACATATAGTCTTTACAAAGACACCTTTGGCTCAGCACACAGGTCTGAAGACTCTGTCATCATTTCCCCAAAATAACAGAGACAGCACTCATGAACTATTAAAACACAGATACACCAACATAACAGAAATATCAGAATATAATAACATATCTGTTAGTAACTATGTAGGTTACAGACATCAAAATGTAAAGAAGTATGTATATATTCAGATATATGCAAATTATGCAATGCTAAAAGAGAATGACCTAATTGACAGTAATTCTCTCTGAATGAAATCCCATTACACATACACTATAATCAGAGACACATTTGCATAGGCTCTGGTTTTGGTTGTTAGGGTGTTCTCCTCGAGTCAGCTGAGAGAACATGTTTAGCCATGTGCTCCCTTTATAACTTGAAGGAGCATATTGCTTTACACTAATATTGGGTGCTCCCTCACAGTCCCCGGCACTTCTCAATGACTCAGAGCATGCAACCATTCAGTCTGAGTCATTAATTAAGTACCAGATCATGAGGTGATCACCATAAAGTGATCTTCACCAGATATTGGTTCTGACCATAATGCACACTCTCACACTCATTCTCAGCCTACCAAAACTGTCATTCTGCTTAGAGACCTGGGCAACCTTAATCTGGCTCTGAATATACCTTTATACACATAAATCCCTATATATACACACACACACACACACACACACACACAAACTACACCCCCTATACACATACATACTATAACTGCTATACAAACATACTGTACCCACATAAACACAACATCTCTTACACACATATGCACATTGTATCCCTCATAGATATACACACCCTAGCCAGCACTGGATTAAAGGGACACTCCAGGCACCGAGACCACTTCTGACCATTGGAGTGGTCTGGGTTCCAACTCCCACTACTCTTAACCCTGCAACTGTAATTATTGCAGTTTTTTTTAATAAACTGCAATAATAACATTGCAGGGTTAACTCCACCTCTAGTGGCAGCCACTAGAGGGCACTTCCTGATTCAAAGCAAAGATTTTCTTTGCTAGAGCGTTGCTGGATGTCCTCACGCTGTGTGAGGACCTCCAGCGTCGCTCAATTAGCATAAGTAAGTGTATTCATATGAATACATCTAGTGTTTTCTGACAATAATGTTCTGTTATTAGGCCCATTGTAATTATCAGCATCAGACCCAATGCACTCTTAAAGGCTCCAAAAAAAAGATTTTCAATGCCTCGCATGCACATTAGGTTACCTCAGCCGGCGGGCGGGATCAGTCTCGCCCACCAAGTGACATGATTACTGGGAGGAGCGACACCGACCCGAAACCACCACCGAGGGACATCGGCGGGGTCTCAGGTAAGTGACCTGAAGGGGTTTTTACGCCTTCAGCTACCTGTGTTGGGAGGAAGAGGGTACCTGCAGTGCCAGGAAAACGGATTGTTTTCCTGGCACTGGAGTTCCTTTAAGAGTGCATTGGGTCTGATGCTGATAATTACGATGGGCCTAATAACAGAACCTTATTGTCAGTAAACACTAGATGTATTCATATGAATACACATACTTATGCTAATCTCTCACTTTCATCTCCCAACCAAAACCATATGCCCCAACATGGGATGTTGGTGGGTTATGGTAAAAGGTTGTGGGCCAGTGATGCAACTTATAATGACATTTCCAGTCCAAAAATGATTTAGCCTCTTCATGGTAAGCATCTCTAGAACTTAGTAGAGCCCCTTTTGCTGTTATGACCTGCTGCAAATTAGATATATAGCAAGACACCACCTTCTGACAGTGTTCCAGACGAATCTTAGCCCATTTCAGCTCACTGTATTGTTTATGGTGCAAGTAGGCCGTGGGCATCATCACCTGGTTCTGGTTCAAACTGTTTTTGAGCACACACAATATTGCGTTCCACTTTCACATTAACTATATGAATTTTGTATTTGAATGCAGTTAATTTAAAAATTGTTAATTTTATTACAAATACATTTCAAACACAATAAAAATAATAACATCTACAGTAAACATAACATCACATGAAAAGGACTCAAAAAGTATTGCATGTAATTATCACATAATTTGCAATACAATTACCTATTTTTACTATATTACTAGTGTGCAGCACATCTTTATAAAATGACTGTAATTAACGTTCATAATTAATTATACCTTTGTCATATTAAGAATTATATAATACATTTAAGATATTTTACCAACATACCTAGGAACATTTTATATTGACTCACTCTAATATTCTTCACTGAAGAACTCTTTAAAGTAAATAAAATGTTCTTAAAAGGAACACCCAAATCATCATATATCCATTATAGTCCCCTGTAGAGGTTATGGTACCAGAGTGCCCTGGCACTGTCCCAAGGTAAAATGTCAAACCATTTTAAAAACAGAACAAAGAGGGATAATTGGGCCCTGTTTAAATATTGGTTTGTGTATGTTATCTCCTAATTTGTTTGTCATTTGTATTGTTTATTAGGATAGTTGATGACACTATTCTGGGTGGATATAAACTGATAGCCAGAGTAGTGTCACCAGCTATCCTAATAAACAATACAAATGACACACAAATTAGGAGAAAGCATAAACAAAGCAAATAGTAACCACCCTAAGTACACATCCAGTTCACATGGATGAGGCCGTTCGGTAAAACACTTCATAGTGCAGTTTGTACAAACACAAACTAAAATAAGGTTTACCTGGTTGGGTCACTCACACAGGGGTGTTTTAGCCGTGAGGCAAACAAGGCATTTGCCTTGGGCGGCATTTTTCAGGGGGTGGCAAAAAACGCCGCCCCCAAACGCCCAGGGCAAATGCCTTGTTAGCCTTGCGGCTAACAGACATGCCGAGCTGGCGGGCGGCGCTGGGCGGGCGGCTGGCGAGGGAGCTCTTCCTCTGAGCTGTCCGCTCATCTCCCTCGCGCACCGCAGAGTGAGGCTGGGAGCCGGAATATGACGTCATCTTCCGGCTCCCAGCCTCACTCTGCGGCGCGCAAGGGAGCTGAGCGGACAGCTCAGAGGAAGAGCTCCCTCGCCAGCCGCCCGCCCAGCCCAGCACCGCCCGCAGCCACTGGACCACCAGGGAGATAGAGAACTTAAAAAAAAAAAAGTGTTAATGTGAGTGTGTGTGTGTTTGTTAGTGTGTCTGTTAATGTGTGTGTGTTTGTGTCTGACTGTGTGAGTGTGTCTGCTAGTGTGTGTCTGTTAGTGTGTATGTGTGTGTCTGACTGTGTGTGTCTGTTAGTGTGTGTGTCTGTGTGTCTGTTAGTGTGTGTGTCTGTGTGTCTGTTAGTGTGTATGTGTCTGTTAGAGTGAGTGTGTGTGTGTCTGTTAGCGTGTGTATGCGTATCTGTCAGTGAATGTGTGTGTGTGTGTATTTAGAAGGCAGGGCGAGGGGAAGGGTTGGGTGGGGCTGGTGCGGGGGGCAGCACAAAGCCAGGATACACCACTGCACTCACATAGACAATTATACAATATATTTAGCTGAGCAGTTGAGCTTTACTTCAGGCACATAGAAGAAAAGAAAATAACAAGAGTACAGCACATTTCAAAGTACCTTTCTAATGAAAGGGAGGCTACCTTTGGCTTAAAATGTCAACTGACTGCTCTAAGCCAATCAGTGGTAGCTGTAGTCCCTTTAAGGCACCAGATGTTGTTGAAAGGTGTTGGATTGCTCTCTTTGGCGTTAAATCGTTCGTGAGCATTTAACCCCTTGAGGTAAGGAAGAGCCAGGGACCTCCTATTAATACATTCTTTCAATGAAGTTGTTATGGTGCCAATAGTATTTATTTATAGTCCGTTCACTGTCACCACCCCCAAAGGGAAATATACAATAGCCTATAAAGAAATTCCCACACAAAGAGGTGATATTAAAATGAAACTCATATTGTCATGTTTTTTTCTTTAACAAATGCCAAACAAAAAAATAAGAACCACTAACTTTTTATTTTGAGGCAGTTTCAGCACGGCAAACTGATGTGGCAGCAAAGCAGAGAGATAAATTGACAGTCCTTGGAAATAGAAGTTTAGGTGATGTGTCCAGAGTTAGTCCATAAGCAATGTCCTTTATCCAGTCCGGTTTTGGAAACAGATGCAATAAGTAAGTTAGAGGGTAGGAATCCAGAGGCAGTGTTAAAGTCCAGTCCGAGGTCGTTCAGTAGGAGGTCAAGCAGTATTGAAGGAAATTCCAAAAGCAGAGTCAAGGCCAGTCCGAATTAGTTAACCAGGTAATCAAAGATATAGGGGTATGAAGAGGAGATTCAGAAGGGGTCCGGTGATGGAACACACGGTCTCTCTAGGAGTGATCCAAATGATTAGGTAGGAAGTTTATGCAATCAACACATTAATTGTGCCCTGAGGCATTGGAGATTGGATTTTAATGCCTTCTTAAAGGGCCAGTAATAAACGAATAAAATTCCTGACATATACTCCAATGATATCCTGTCAAATGCCTTTCAGCTTCACAGCTAATAATTGCATATTTTATATTCTTGTGGTGAGCCATTGCAACAACCAACAAGACCTTACATACATTCAAAGTAAACTTCCCACCCCAAAGAAAACTTGAAAGTGTTGGCCCTATCATTTATGCTAAGGGGGTTTGAAGTCGATTGCACATTATTTTGGAAATTATCCTGATGTCTGTGTTCAGAAGAGAGCATGATTTATAAGAAGAAAGAGTTTCTCATGAGCTAAATGAGGCTAAAATGTATTATACTCTGAACTAAGTCTGTCTGGACTCCGTGATTTGCCTTTAGGAAGAGCAGAAATGCTACGATTAATCTGTGGTTCCTAATTATCTGATTCTTTCATATAAAGGGTTGTATAGTAGGTTTTAAATTCCCTTGCCAGATGCATTGAGTCCAGGGTCAGCACAACAGAAGCTATCCTAAAATGAAGGGTAGAAAGTCAGTCGGTTAGTCAAAAGCTTCCCCTGTTTATTTACAAAGTAAAAGAAACAAAAACATTGAACAATATCTGCTAGCTTGGCCTTCTATGTAATTAGTTTTTTTTTGGTTGGTGTAGGTCATTAGGTTTAGTATTATTCTCCTGCTCTTTGTGGGCCATAAACTCCATTATGTATCCACTTATTAATGGTTTAGAGGTACTCCAGAAAAGATTTAATATTATCAATATAAAATAAATTGTCATTGGTGTAGTTGTATTGAAAAGATAGGGTTAAAAGTGAAGAGGGGAACCTCCGGTTGTTTGAAAAGCAACGTGTAGGAAGAAGAGATAAGTATGGCATCAGGTATAGCCATGTTGTCAATGGTAGCTAAGGAAAATCTGTATATAATGGTGTTAACTAGGTAAAAATGGTTAATGTGAGATAAAGAATTGTGTGAGTGTGAATAAACCAGACCAGACCATACCAGCCAGATGAACATGTCTCTGGGAATCAAGTGTAGTTCAATCAAGAAAGTCAGTTCCGCAGAGAGATGACTTGGCAGCCTGGACACAGGAGGTATGATCTAGCCAATATTAGGGTAGAGAGGCCCTATTAAAATTGCCCACCACCACCAAACTCTTAAGTTCACCCTGCAATATCTGAAAAGGGATCTTTAGCATCTGTAGGGGCATCCAAATTATTATTTGTGGCGAACATGCCCTCGCCACAAGCTCCCGGAGAAGCCTGCTTGTTAGCCTCCTGCCTCAGGACTATGGGCCCTGCTAAAAAGCATGCAAAAAGACTTGGTTCATGTGATTTCCCTGGTTTATTTTTGGGGTTCCTATATGTGTGTTCTATATATTTCATAGTTTATGTTTTGTGATCTGTAACTCTAGTGCCTGGGGGATAAATGGGGTTATTCAAATGTCTCTTTTGGATATGATATTGAATCAAGGGTTTCCTGTTTCTAGAAGGCTTGTTCATTACCATACCAAAAGACTTCCTATCTGAGAGGCAAGCAAGACATATGGCAGATGTGAGCTCAGACTTCCAGGGACTCATCTGTGTGACTTACCACACCCTACAGAATAGCCATATTATTATTATGTTTATATAGTGCCATCAAATTCCATAGCGCTTTACAATGGGTGAACTAACATGTATCTGTAACCAGACAAGTTTGACTCACAGGAACAGAGGGCTTACATGCTAGATGGAGTGGGGTACAGTGACACAGAAGGTAAGGATAGTATTAGGGAAGTAGATTGGTAGAATAATTCACTGAAGATGTGCGTGTTTATTTATTTTAAAAGACAGTTAAGGGAGAGGAATCAGTTGGGAGCCTATCAACAAATTATATCAAATGACCATCCGACACTGGTCTCTCATCTCCTCCTTTGACACCATGCTCCTGGTAATATTTAGTCTGTGCACCATTTTCCTTGTTTACCATACACCAGATGTGATTATGTTGACAGTTGTTGTTAGAGACATGCTATTCTTTAGGGATTCCAGGAAGCAATACCCTTTTCTTTACATAATCACTTTTCAAATATAACTTTTTACTAAATTGTTTTAATTAATTATCAAGTAAGAAAACAGGCTAACACAAAGAGGAAGATGGAAGAGACAAGAAAGTGTCAATATTGTAAAATCCATCTAAAAATCAATAAAATCCTAGAACAAATATTTTATTAAATGTGTCATTTTTCCATCCACGCTTGGTTTAGTTTAATTACAATTTCACACAGTAATATTGTAATAAGTACAAAACAATCTGCAAACAAGCCCTAGCATGAATATAGTTTTGTGCACTTAACACAATTGTATAGTGTTGCAAACAAACAAGAGCCAGCTGAATTCCAAGTAGGTTTATTTGAAATCGCAAGCAACTGTGCTTGAGGTGGGTAGAATATCTTAAATTACATATCCATAAAAAAAAACAACAAAAAAAACAGAAGTAGACTGGCATTTGGGTGACTTTCTAGGAGTACTGATTGCTGCCCAGCAAGTAGATTTATATTTAAATAAGAATTCAAGCCTGATATTTCCCTGTCCAAGCCCAGAATTTGAAAATAACCAAGAATGCCAGTTAAAATTAACTGTGTGTCTAGATATAAAATATAACAGCTGCTACTAGACTCTTGTGGGTATCTCTCCCACCCACCTATAGAATCGTGCAAACTAAAAAGCTTGGACAAAACCAAACTCCACCAACTGCCTCTATAGTTGAGCACTGAAAAATCAATACACTTATCCCTAGTACGGACACTCGATATATAAAAGAGTATAGTGCTGGCAAATAGGGGAAGAAATACAAAATAAAACAACTAGTGTAAAACATTATATATTGGGTGAGTATAAAAATTGGTTCACTTCGGCAAAAGAACCTGGCTCCAGGAAAGCGGCAAATCCGAATGTGATGGAGGCTCCCAAGTCGAAGCGAAATAGAGTCAGCCAGGTGCAACATACCACCAAGCCTGGTCAAGCAATGGCTTTATCCTGCTCCATTCCAAGAAGCCAAATTGCCAGAGAGGTGTAACGGACCGTTTTGCACACAAAGGGTAAAAACTGTTTAGGCGATCGGCCCCCTTTCCAGAGATGAAGGCACAGCTACTGCAGAACACCAAACACACGAACCGCCAATAAGTGAATGCTCCAAACTCCCGAACGGCATCCAATATAGCACTCCAAACAGATGAACAGGAACCATACGAATTACTGCTACCAGACGAATAGGAAAAGCATCCAAGCGGCTTACACTCCTAGCAATCAGTCTCTATCAGCATTCAGTAAATCCCCCCCAAAGACAAGACTCCGTGTTGAGGGTCAAGCAGTGGTCTGTTTAATGAGGGCTACCTGCCCAGTATTTATGCAGGTCTCCCACCTGGTGGACACTCCCCTAGGGGACCAAATGGGAGACTGTGACAAAGGACAGACAAGTAGACAAATAGGACACACAGTCACAATATATTCCCACAATGCATCCTGGCTTCCTCCCCTCTGCCCTGGGAGATAATTGAGAAGTAATTCAATTATCTCCCAAGACAAAGGCAAATCGCCATTATGCACGTGGGGATACTAAAACAAGCATTACTGTTAAAATACACCAGGTAAGACACATTACATTAAAACTATACATTTAACATGTCCCCAGATAGCTCAGGTCTGAGCGCACATTATTAAGCGAATGGCGCTCAGACCACACGAATACAGTTTAATCGCCATGGAGCCAAAGTCTTTACAGTCAGTTTCATACGAATGGGCTCCATGGGATTCCTATCTGGGGTATAACACATTCAAACAAAACTACCGAACACCGGGCCGTTCGTGCACTTCCACCGAACAAGAAGGGAGGTCGGCGGCTTCAGCGGTGTTCGCGCAAAACTGTGTCCGATTTTAGTTCCATGAAAATAGAGGCGAACACCGCTGTGCATTTGTATGTTTAAAATGGCTGCGACCTCGTGTTCGGGATATGAATGGCGGCCACCCAGCATCCGTCAATTAAGCTGCGGTTAACCGCAGCTTCAGGGAGGTTAATTGCCGGCACACTCCAGCTCCCAGGTGGTCTATTCATTCGTGCGGTTGTTCGGTAGATTGAATCTACCAAACAACCGGCAGAAAAGCACGAATACAGCTTTTCTGCAGGTGAAACAAAGTCTTTTAACAGAGGGGCCATAGTCCAGAGGCAGCAGGCGAGCAACCAGGCTTCTCCAATGCAATGTGGCGAGATTGGTCTCGTCACATCTCTCCCCTTTTCCAAACAGACTAACAGGGTATCTGACCTCCTGCCAGTCAGTGCCCTTGTTAGTCCAGCAGCCCACCCACAAAACACAATCAACAGCACAGCCCACCCACAATAAATGGTTACTGCACCTGGGTAGAGGAGAAGCTTGTCCATGTCCAGGTGCCTCACCACGGCTGTGCTGGGTATGGGTACGCTGACTTGGTGGGGTGCTGCGTGGGCAGAGACCAGCGGCACTCTGCCCTGTTGCCAGCGCTACTGGGAGGGTAGCCTGGTTGAAGCCTGGTTGTTGGAGGGGGAGACCGACTGTCTCCCCTTTAGATACACAGTCTTGCTGCTGGAGACAGACTGTCTCCCCTTTGGACACACAGCTCTGCTGCTGGAGACCGGCTGTCTCCCCTTTGGTTACACAGCTCTGCTGCTGGAGACCGACTGTCTCCCCTTTGGTTACACAGCTCTGTTGCTGGAGACCGACTGTCTCCCCTTTGGCTACACAGCCCTGTCACTGGGGGGCAGAACCAACCGTCCCTACCCCCTGTGCTGGACGTGCAGAGACCACGGTCCCATCTGCACAGTTGTGGGGCTTACTGTCTCCCCCTGGTACATTAAGCTGCTGCTGGGGAGAGGGGGTAACAAGCTCCTCTCCCATATATACTTCCAGCCGCGGGGGAGGGAGACCGACTGTCTCTGCTCCCAATACAGAGTGCTGCTGCTGGGGAAAGGAGACTGGGCTCTCTATTCCCAGTAGGACACTCTGCAGCTGGGGAATGGAGACTGGGCTCCCAATTCCCAATGAATCATTCTGCCGCTGGGGAATGGAGACTGGGCTCCCAATTCCCTGCAATTCATTCTGCTGCTGGGGGACAGGAGCAACCATCTCTGTCCCCTGTAACTCAGCCTGCCGCTGGGGAATGGAGACTGGGCTCCCAATTCCCTGCAATATCTCCTGCTGGGGAATGGAGCTTGGGCTCCCAATTCCCTGCATATCACACTGCCGCTGGGGAATGGAGACTGGGCTCCCAATTCCCTGTATATCATCGGAGTCTCAGCTGGGCTTGATGCTCCTGAGGCCTCCACCTGGGCCCCATACCGAAGCAAGCCTATGATTTATCCTAGAGGTGCATTGGATGACCTGAGATTGAGTCAGCCGTGGGACTCCATGGCCTCATATGCAATTCATAATATTATTTGCTTTTCTTTTCTTTTCTTTTATTTTAATTCACTAGGCATGCTTTGTTGATTTGGGTGTGGGCATATCTCTGATAATGTGGCGTTCACATTCTAATCAAGGGCCTTGTGGATGTATAAATCATCCCCAGTTAACACAGCAGTCCAGCTCACAGCTAGTGTTAGATTCAAGCATAATTTATCTAGAATAGAGCTGGTGCACATATCCTTAATAACACTACCTGGACATAACTACTTTGCATAGTTAAAGGGACACTTTAGTCACCAGAACAACTACAGCTTATTATATTTGTTCTGGTGAGTGTAATCATTCCCTGTCGGCTTTTTGCAGTAAACACCGTCTTTTCAGAGAATATGCAGTGTTTACATCATAACAGCCTCTGGATAACACCACTGGCCACTCCTCAGATTGCTGCTAGAGGTGCTTACTGGCAGCACCGGGGCTACCATTAGGTGAATAAGGTCAGGTATGGCTGACTAAGGGTGACTGTTTATTGTGTGCATGTTAGTAAATTGGTGTGTGTTTTAAATTACTGTATTTGTGTGTGTAAATAATGTGTGACTTTATGTAAAATGGTGTACATTTGTGTTTGAGTGGCTGTGTGTGTGTTAGTCAAAGTGTGTAAGTGACACTGTGTGTTAGTGAGAGTGTATGTTAGTGAAAGTGTGCAAGTGACAGTGTGAGTTAGTGAGAGTGTGCAAGTGACAATGTGTGTTAGTGAGAGTGTGTGTTAGTCAGAGTGTTTAAGTGAAACTGTGTGTGTGTTGGTGAGAGTGTATAAGTCACGGTGTGTGTTAGTGAGTGTGTAAGTGACACGGTGTATGTCAGTGAAAGTGTTTAAGTGAAAATGTGTGTGTGTTAGTGAGAGTGTGTAAGTGACTGTGTGTGTGTTAGTAAGAGTGTTTAAGTGATAAAGTGTGTGTGTTAGTAAGCAGGGCCGGACTGGCCCACCGGGATACCGGGACACCGGGACATCTCCCGGTGGGCCGTGGCACTTGGGGCCGCACAGTGCTGCCTCCAGTACACACACTCATGTCAGGGCTGCATGAGCAATGAAGGTCCTCTCTCACCTCTAGAAAGTACTTTATCCACTCTGTCTGTCTCGAGCTAGACATAAGGAGCAGGCGCACAGCAGCCGGCAGGAGCCTGGAGTAAGTGCAGGAAAGATGGCAGTCCCGGTCCCTGCCTGACCGCCTGCACACACAGGAATAATGTGACCTGGTAATCAAGCACGGTAGGGAAGCCCACGCGGGTCTTCTTAAAGTTTTGCTTCCTGTGTGTTAACTGCAGGGAGGAGAGGAGTCAATAGGGAGGTATGTCAGAGCTGCTGGCTTGAAGTGAGCAAGAAAGTATGTCAGAGCTGCTGGCTGGGAGTGAGATGTGTGAGCAGGGAGGTATGTCAGAGCTGCTGGCTGGGAGTGAAAGGGGTGAGCATGGAGGCCTGTCAGAGCTGCTGGCTGTGAGTGAGATGTGTGAGCAGGGGGTATGTCAGAGCTGCTGGCTGGGAGTGAAAAGGGTGAGCATGGAGGCCTGTCAGAGCTGTTGGCTGGGAGTGAAAGGGGTGAGCATGGAGGCTTGTCAGAGCTGCTGGCTGGGAGTGAAAGGGGTGAGCATGGAGGCCTGTCAGAGCTGCTGGCTGTGAGTGAGATGTGTGAGCAAGGGGTATGTCAGAGCTGCTGGCTGGGAGCGAAAAGGGTGAGCATGGAGGCCTGTCAGAGCTGCTGGCTGGGCGTGAAAGGAGTGAGAATGGAGGCCTATCAGAGCTGCTGGCTGGGAGTGAAAAGGGTGAGCATGGAGGCCTGTCAGAGCTGCTGGCTGGGCGTGAAAGGAGTTAGAATGGAGGCCTGTCAGAGCTGCTGGCTGGGAGTGAAAGGAGTGAGCATGGAGGCCTGTCAGAGCTGCTGGCTATGAGTGAGATGTGTGAGCAGGGGGTATGTCAGAGCTGCTGGCTGGGAGTGAAAAGGGTGAGCATGGAGGCCTGTCAGAGCTGCTGGCTGGGCGTGAAAGGAGTGAGAATGGAGGCCTGTCAGAGCTGCTGGCTGGGAGTGAAAGGGGTGAGCAGAGAGGCCTGTCAGAGCTGCTGGCTGGGAGTGAGCAAGGAGGTATGTCAGAGCTGCTGGCTGTGAGTGAGAGGGGTGAGCAAGGGGCCTGTCAGCTGCTGCCTGGCAGTGAGAGTGGTGAGCAGGGAGGCCTGTCCGAGAGCTGCTGGGATTACAGGGACACTATAGTGTCAGGAAAACCACTTGGTTTTTCTGACACTATAGTACCCTGAGGGTGCCCCCACCCTCAGGGTCCCCCTCCCGCAGTGCTGAAGGTGTTAAAACCCCTTCAGGTACTCACCCTTTCCCCCTCCCTGGGCTCCCTTACCTCTCCTCCCCCGCCGACGTCAGCATCCTTGTCTGATGTCACTGGCACCGAATGCACATGCGCAGCACTGCCGCGCGCGCATTCAAAGTGTCCGTAGGAAAGCATTTTTCAATGCTTTTCTATGGACGTTCTGCGTGATTGAGGCATAATATGTCTCAATCATTGCCGATGCGCCTCTAGTGTCTGTCTGGAAGACAGCCACTAGAGGCTGGCTTAACCCCAGATGTAAACATAGCAGTTTCTCAGAAACTGCTATGTTTACATCAGGCAAGGTTAACCCTAGAGGGACCTTACATCCAGACCACTTCATTGAGCTGAAGTGGTCTGGGTGACTAGTGTCCCTTTAAGCCTCCCTGTCTTATTTGTCATCAGCATGCTTTCAGAGGATTTTAGCAGTGCCCTTAACCCCCCATGTACAAATTATCACTGTGCTTTGGATTCCCCCTTCTGCTTGTTTAAAGCTTTCAGCCAGGAGCGGAGTACAGACCATCTGAAAGAGCAAAGTAATTTTACTGATTCTTAGGGTATATAGTCTGTGTATATTTGAGGGTGTAATTGTATGCTTGCTGGTGTTTTGGTCAGTGAACCTGTGAGGGAGTAACTACGAGTATTCGTTTTCTGTATTTGTGAAGGTATTACGCGTGTCAGTATGGATCCAGTGTGCGCGTGTCAGTATATAGTTTTGCTTTATCTGAGAGTTGTTGGAGTATTATGCATCTATACATATGCACAAATGTATATCTTTTTTTAAATTAGAAGTGAAATTCTAAATACCTGTATATTTGTCCCCGCTGGCACAATTATTGATAGGGCTGGTGTAAAAAATTTCCAGGGCTGATTTGTACTCCCAGTCCAGCCCTGTTAGTAAGAGAGTGACAGTGTGTGTAAGTGAGAGTGTGTAAGTGACACTGTGTGTGTGTTAGTGAGAGAGTGTAAGTGACACTGTGTGTGTGTTAGTGAGAGTGTCAGTAAGACTAAGACTTCCAGGAAATTGGCGAACCCTGAACTGATCTGGGTGATTTTCCAGTATGTTGTTCACCCAGATCGGGGCTATAAGGGGATATGTAAATTATGGGTGTATGTTATGGTTTTGGGGTACATTCAAGGATTGGGGGAAAATGTGTTTTTACAACTTAAAGATAATTAAGTTATCTCTCACGCTGAGGGGAGGGAATATGTATACGGTATCCATCTATTGATTGGCTGATTCTTAATTCTCTGTGGGTGTCTCCCTTGCACGGGAGATTTGCATAAAAGCCGAGTGTGTGGCCATTAAAAACGAGTTCTGCTCCTGATACTGAGTGTCGTCCAGTTATTGGGAATGGTGATGAGAGATTTGTGGATTTGCTTGCCGTTTATGCTGTTCTTCTTGTAATATCCTGCTTTTTCCTGAGTAGCTGTTGGAGTACCAGCGGAGGAGAGTACCTGCTAGACTAGCGCTCTGCTACAACACTGTTTATGTTAGTGACAGTGTGCAATGACACCGTGTTAGTGACTCTAGGTGTGTGTGTTAGTGAGAGTGTGTAAGTGACAGTGTGTGTGAGTGTGTAAGTGACGCTGTGTATGTCAGTGAGAGTGTGCAAGTGACACTATGTGTGTGTTAGTGAGAATGTGCAAGTGACACTGTGTAAGTGACTCTAGGTGTGTGTGTGTGTGTGTGTGTGTTAGTGAGCATGTGTAACTGACAATATGTATGTCGGTGAGAGTGTGTGTATGTTAGTGAGAGTATGTTAGTGACACTGTGTATGTCAGTGTGTTAGTGACAGTGTGTCTCTTTCTTTCCCTAAATGTGTGCTCTCTATGTCTCTCTTCTAAAATGTTTCCCAGTCTCTGTTTCCCAAGTATCTCAACAGTCTCTCTATCTTTTCCTAAATGTCTCCTCAGGCTGTTTCCATTCTTTCTCACCGTGAATCTGCTTTCACTTAAAGGGATGCTCTAGGCATTCAGACCACTTCAGCTGATTGAAGGGATCTGGATGCACTGTTCTAGAGCCCTTACCCTGCAAATGTAATTATTGCAGTTATAATAAACTGCAATAATTAGCATTCAGTGTTAACTCCACCTCTAGTGGCTACTCATGGGGATGTCCAGCATAATGCAAAACCCCATAGGAAAGCATTGTATAATGCTTTTCTGTTGGGAAATCCTAATGCAAACACGGCCATTGAAAAGTGAAGACGGGTCCGAGCCAGTGCCGAAAGACAGCGCTGGACCAAGGTAAGTGGCAGAAGGGATTAAACACTACAAAGAGGGGGTGTGACGAAGTGCCCTTCGCCACTCGTGCCTGGAGAAGACTGCTTGCCCGCCTCTTGCCCTGTGACTATGGCCCCTGGGATGTATTGCCCTTTAAAGACATGATTTGGGCATAATGGATTTGTGTTGTGCTGCTGCTGGCCCTTTAAGAACCATGTGGGGACATACTGTGGAGTTACTGGGTGGCCACCATTTCCTGTATCAGAAGCACATGGTGAGAACAATGGATGGCGGCCATTTTAACTCACAGACACTGTTTGGACTTTTCAACACGGTGCCATCTCGCCAGTATTTGGTGCACAGAGACATCGTGCAGTGGTTTTGGACTTGACATGCGCATAGTCGTCTTTTTGGCCTATTCCTGTTATAAACCAATTATAACCTTTAATAATCACAGACACATGAATGAATTGGCAAAATATTCCACGGCTTTATTAAATATATATAAATAATAAAATATAAATTTAAAAGGTCATTGTCAACAACGCTTGAAAAGACATCCCCCCCCAATTAACATAACTAAATACCCAGACAATGACCTCCAACATATTTACAGAATACATCCAACTAACAGTATAACATAGCATAAATACCATAAACCTTAACATAGCCACCCAGGGCCTCCATTTCCAATTGTAGGGGCATACCAAGACACCCCTACGCCATTATCATAGCCACCAAGGGCATCCCTTTCCACTGTAGGGGCATACCAAGACACCCCTACACCATTATCCCAGCCACCAAGGGCATCCATTTCCAGTGTAGGGGCATACCGAGACACCCCTACACCCCCAGGTTCGTAGCTACCGCCGAGCTCGAACCTACCACCAAATCTAAAGGTAAGTATTCCTCCTGACCTATCCCACTTACCAAAAACCGACCTACCCCCAATTAACCTAATCCATCCCCCGCCACAGCACAGAGCTTGACCACCTCAAGCCTCCTGTGCGCCCCCACCCCGAATAAACAGGGCCTGTCTAAGACCGTCCTGAAAGCCTAAGTTAAGGAAATCCAAACCCACCTCCGATAAATGAACTCCATCATGCCTGAAGTATCCTGGTAACATATCCTCTAGTTCCCTGTGCCTCACTACTACCCCCCCAGACCTTTTAATAAAAGTTGCCAACAACTTGTTGAACTTGCGTCTATATCTCGCCATAGCTGCGAAATCCCGCGCATGACGCCACCGGAAACGCGGTACCGTTTCCGACCAAACAATAACCACCCCGGGAAGCAAGGACCTCAACTTATCCACGTCCCTCTTTATCCCACGAACTAATTCCCTTTGCGGCACCAGACCAAAATCATTCCCCCCTGTGTGGAACAATATGAAATCGGGGACTTCCCCTTGCCCTATCTTCCGAAATAACTCCAAACACGTATCTCTCCAACCGAAACCCCGAAAACCAAACCAGAACAACCGTAACACATCAGAAGGAAAGCCGAGCTGCGTGCCTTCTCTCCGAACTGCAGCTCTCCGTTCTGCCCAGTAGACATATGAATGGCCTACTATCCATGCAACTCCACCTGAAATAAAATAAATAATTCATAACCACAGGACCACCGTAATTGTACCCCATAACATAAATTTGTTTACATTAAAAGATCAGGCCGGACATAGGAACGGAACCTGATCGATTCCCATCTCCCAATCTTTTTAACTAACTCATCCCCTAGGCCTAACCTCACCGCCTCTGTGGCAGCCCCGATCCTGAAGGAGTGGGTGCCAAATTGCGTGGGATCCAGGCCCAGGCGTTCCAAGCCCAACTTAAAGACCCTGTTGAACTGGAATTTCGACAACGCCGAGCCGTCCGCATGGCGAAAAAACGATCCCTGCCCCTTCGGACGGAGCTCCCCATATCGCCGAGCACTGCCCACCGGGCAAGCCTCCACCTGAGGTATTGAAAATAGTTTTATCATACGACCTCTCCCAAAGACATCCGTCTTCGAGCGCCGTAGTCGAATAGCTACCTGTTCCACCCCTACATCCACGTCCGCGAACTGGAGACCACCTTGTCTAAGCCTGTTGCTACTTACAATCTCACTCACCCGAAAAGCCCGAAAAACGCCCACACAAACGCCACCTTAAATAGCAAGACCTCGAACAAAGAGAAACATAAACCCGGTAGGGTACCCAATAGTTGTTGAAGCAACCTAAAAGACACCGGCCTCCTAGTGTCAGGTGATAACTTCCCTTTGCGGTAACCCTTCACTGCCTGCCGCACCATAAAAGATTTTGTCGAATCTTCCCACCCACGAAGCTTGAAGAGGAACGCCAATGCTGCCAGGTTCCGGCCGACCACTGCCGGAGAAGCCCCCGCTGCGAACAGCCTGCAAAGAAACCATAATAGCTTATTGAGACGTACCTTTGCGGATACCACGTCCCCCGTATAGCCTAATGCTTCGTCCCACCTTTCCCATACTTTACTATACGCCGCCAACGTGCCCGGAGCCAACGAATCCATTATCAGTCTTCCAAGCAGGAGGTCCCGAGACGCCACATGTGATCCGGACATGGCAGACCCTCCCTTTGTGCGTTTGGAGTCTCCACCCGAAATTTTTCCCACTGAAAGCGAGAAAGTGCATCAGCAATTACGTTCAAGAATCCAGGAACATGACGTGCACGAAAAACAATATTCAACTGCATGCAATACAAAACAAACTGGCGAAGCAGCCGCACTACTGGGACCGACGACGCCGAAAGATTGTTCACAGCCTCCACGACAGCCCCATTGTCCGTAAAGAAAACCACTCTCCTATCACGTAAGGCCTGGCCCCACAAGGAGAGCGCTACCACTAATGGGAACAATTCGAGAAAAGCCAAGTTCCGAATCTGTGGGCTGACCGCCCAATGTTCGGGCCATCTTTCGGCACACCAATGACCCGCAAAGTAAGCCCCGAAGCCTACGCTCCCTGACGCATCGGTAAAAAGCTCTAACTCGGGTGATTCGATACACTGCTCCCTAAAAAAGACTCGCCCATTGAAATCCCTCAGGAAGGCCTCCCACACACCCAAATCCTCCTTCATCGGAGCGGTGACCCTGATAAAATGATGAGGTGACCGCACACCCGCCGTGGCTTTGGCGAGGAACCGGTTGAATACCCTTCCTACCGGGATAATGCGACATGCAAAATTCAACCGCCCCAGCAAAGACTGTATAGCCCGCAGTGTCGCCTTCTTTGCCCTACGCAACTCTGAAACGGCATCGCGGAGAGACTCCAACTTATCTTGTGGTAATCTGCATTCCCCCGCGACCGTATCTATTTCAAGCCCCAAAAAACTCAGGCATGTAGTAGGCCCCACGGTTTTGTCGCGAGCCAGAGGTACCCCAAATACCTGACTGACCCAGTCGAGACACCGTAGCCTAAAGCGGCAAGCGTCAGAGCCAGCCGGCCCGACACACGAGAAATCGTCCAGGTAATGGACCACAAACTTGGTGCCCGCTTCCTCCCTCACTACCCATTCCATGAACGTGCTAAATTTCTGAAAGTACGCACATGAAATGGAGCATCCCATGGGCAAACACAGATCCACAAAATAGTTTCCATCAAGATAACAACCTAATAAGTGGTGACACTTTGGGTGAATGGGCAAAAGGCGGAAAGCCGCTTCTATATCCGCCTTAGCCAACAACGCTCCCTGTCCTGCTTCCTTTACCAGCAATTACTTAAACCAGAATAATGAAGGTATAATTTTAACTTCCGCTTTTAGTAATCATACAGTAACCTTTTTAGATTTAGAACTCTATGTTAAAGAGAACACACTTTGCACTAAAACACATTTTAAGGAAGTACATACTAATACCTTTATCAGCTATGATAGCTGCCACAACCCCATATGGCTCAATGGAATACCCAAAAGCCAATTCCTCAGACTGAAAAGAAACTGCTCAGAAGCATCAGTATTTCACACTCAAGCAACTAACATGAAACAAAAGTTCATACAAAAAGGCTACAACCCCAAAACAATAGACAAAACTATAATATCAATAGATAAGACACAGAGAGAATCACTATTGCTCCAAAAACCACCTAAGGACCCTCAAACCAACAGATTCACCCTTCCTTTGATATTCGACTATAATAATAAAAGCAAACATATCAAAAAGATTATTAACAAAAATTGGCATTTACTTAAAGAGGATCCAATACTAAGTGAAGCCCTACCAGATAAACCCACTATAATATATAGAGGTGCACCTAATCTAAAATTACAACTTACAAATAATTTCACTAGAAATCAAAACATACAAAAAAACAATTTTTTAACTATCAATAAAGGTTTTTTTAGATGTAATACGTGCATATCATGTAGAAAAACACACAAAATGGAAAAATGCACATCAGAGTTTAAGTCTAACAGAAACAAAAAGCTCTTTAACATTAATGAAATTTTAACGTGTAATAGTAATAACGTAATCTACATGTTAGAGTGTCCATGTGGACTACAATACGTCGGCAGAACAATAAGGCCATTGAAAGTAAGAATTAGTGAACACTGCCGTAATATTGAAAAAGGCTACAAAAATCACTCTGTATCTGCGCACTTTTTACAGCACAACAAAGACCCCAGCCTATTAAAATTTTTGGGTATTGCTAAATATAAACCACATTGGAGAGGGGGCGACACCACCAGAAACATAGGCAAGTTAGAAATGGAGTGGGTCTATCGTTTAGATACCCTCCACCCAAATGGACTTAATATAGAATTCGATTTGGTTCATTTTTTATAACTCATTTTGTAAAATGTATTTTTTATCACTCGTTCTATAACCCATTTTTAATGGGTGTTTATAATTTCTTTTACACCCTTTTATGCAGATACTACTGTGTTTTTATACTATTTATATTTCCCCTAGCTGTATATACATGTCCCCTTTCCATTTAAAGTATGTTCTTTTTCGATATGGCATTCTTTGAGCTCAATTTCTATCACTAGCCCATATTTAAAATGGCGGCCGGAACAGTTTAGTTTATGACACTATCAAGTAATTAATTATTATATCTTTTATGTCACTTATATGCTCTATGTGTATCCATTTCTGTAATTATTCAAGTTATTAGCTGATTCAATATGTTATTATGTTATTGTATACTTTTGATTCCTATTTTTGAACTTTCCACAAATTGCCCATATCCAAGATGGCGTCCGGAGAACTTCCTGTCTATGCCATCTTGCTGAAAACAGGAAATGAGGAAATACACATAGTAGAATTGATTTCTACTATCATATACTCTATGTGTGGCCACATCTGTAATTATTCACGTTTTTATCTGATTCAATATGTTATTATGTTATTGTATACCTTTGATTCCTATTTTTGAACTTTCCCACAAATTGCCCACATCCAAGATGGTGTCCGGAGAACTTCCTGTCTATGCTATCTTGCTGAAAACAGGAAATGAGGAAATATGCACAGCAGAATCGATTTTCATCATCAGAGAAGGTATATAATCTCAAGGACCCCAAGCAGCAAGCATTCACTTTTGAGAAAGCTTCGGCGAAACGCGTCAAGTGAGGAAGAATTTGGGACTTTTAAACAGGACTGGTTTTATAGTTTATTATTCACTTTTTACTTATTGTATTAAAGTATATATATTTTTTAAACTATCCACTCATTCCTTTTGTCCTCCTTCCTATCCAATACTGCTTTGCTGCTATACCTGGGTCCACTATATCCCAAGGTGGGGATTATTCCACCTGAAATTCTCCAAACTAGAGCAGGTCGTTGCTCTAGTATATGTAAGTAGGATCATCCACTTTTTTTTCACAATATTTTATATTTACGTACTATACCATGTGGTGTATTTTACTCTTGTTTTTCATGTAACGAATATTTACACCTATAAATTCACCAACGGTCTTGAACCTCAAGAAATCCATAGACGGGGATTATTCCGTCCAGGCTCTTAACACCGAGCTGATATAGCTCCTCAAAGTGTGAGTGTGAATATAACACCTTTGTTCTTGTGGAATTATATCGTTCATACATACTGTACCATTATTTGTATTTTTGTTTCTCTTTTTTTTTTTAAGTTACTCTGCTGGCCAGTATTTCTACAAAACGTATGTACATTTTCTGATTTTTAGCGCTGTTCACCTTTCTATTTTATCCTTTACCAGCTCGACCGCTTGGTCGAATGATGCATAGGAAACCGAACAGAGATCCCCGTCAATGTCATCATTGACTGATGACACCTTCGGGTATGACAAATGGTGGATAAGGCGAAATTTTCCCGCCTCCTTCTTTGGCACTACGCCTAAAGGGGAAACCCTAAGATCCGGCAGCGGTGGTTCCCTAAACGGTCCCGCCATCCGCCCCAGGTGAACCTCCTGAAGCAATTTACCACATACCACATCATGATGTTCGCCAACTGAGCGCAAATTACGGAAACGGGGAACCACAACCCGATCCCTGAAGGGAATGATGAAACCCCTAGTAAATCCCTCAAACAATAGACGGGCATCCTCCCGCTTACCGTAGCTGTTTAGCCAAGGGAGCATCGCGTCTACCCTCACCGGAGACCGCCCCAGAGGCAGCGGATGGTGCTGCAGCGCCTCAGGCCGCGCCTGTTGTAGTGGGCTTGCCCTTCTTAAAACACCGGTTGTAACCATGTCCCCCCCCACCGCATCCAGAGCATTCATGCCTAAAGCGGCATGCGGAGCCCCACTTACATTGGCCCTCATTATAGAGCCAGCAACACCCCTTCCTTTGCGCAGCCGACGAGGTGGAAGAGGAACCGACGCCAGCCCCCCCTTGAAAGGGAGCCGCCTTTTGAGCCATCATTAGCTTCATCCATAATGGCAGGTCCATCTGGTCCCACCTCATTCCCGGCTTAGCCGAAAGCCTCTGACGGAACTGTTCATCGTACCGCCACCATGCTAGGCCCCCGTATGTGCGGTAAGCCTCCCACACCCCGTCTAAGTAACAGAAGAATTGCGAGCATTTCTCTGGGGCCTTTTCCCCCAGTACACTCGCCAGTATGCAAAAGGCCCGCAGCCAGTTCCCGAAAGTTTTCGGGATTTTCCTATAACGACGCCGCTTTTCTTCCTCCTCTTTCTTGGGATCCTTTTTGTCTTCTTCCTTCAAGTCTAGGTATTCCTCCAAGGGGAGAAGGGAGAAGATCTCCACAAATTCCCCTTTCCATAACCTTTCCTTAACCTCTAATTTTAGGTGACACCCCAACGGCCCCGTAAACGACACATGCACGTTCTGCCTTGCTGCATCTGGAATCTCCCCCATTAGTATATCCCTCTCAGCCGCCACTTCTGTGGCTGCTGACCCCGCTGAGGCTGCTACCAGCTCACCTGCACTGCTCCCGGCACGTTCGGAGACTGGTTTCTCTCCTGACCCCAAACCCGACGACCCCGGCAACCACGCCTTGCTAAACGAAGCCCCCTTATCCAAACCTGGACTCCATGATGCAAGAAATGTTTTCAGACCTTCTAACAAATCTCCAGAGTGTGGTGTACTGTGAGACTCACCGACCAAACCCCTTGGTGTCGCTGATCCTGGGGCTGCATCCCGAACTCCGCCGTGAGATGTTCCCGGCGAGGCTGCTGTCAAATCCCTGCTGTCCTGAGGCCTCCTGCGGCCTGCTGACCCGACATCCAATGGCCTGCGAACGAAAGAAGAAAAACTGGGGAGGCCGTCATCAGAACCCCAATCCTCCCTGACCTCACCCATTGGGCCTCTACGTGGACTGCTACTCCTGGCATGCTGGCCCTTACGGCCATATCTATCCCCGGAAAAACCTCTGCTCCGCCTGTCGGGAGAGCCCCCGCTCATTGACCTGGAGGCACTCTCCCGCGAGACTGCTCCCCGAACAGGTGAGCCACGGCAACGACCATCCGCAGACTCCCCGCTGCTACTGCGCTGCCTGCTCCGCCGTTCACTCCTGGAGCGATGGCTAGCTCTCCTGTCCCCCCCACTGTCTCTGCGCCGCTCTGTGGGGCTATCTGTCCTCTCCTGAGCGCGGCAATCCCTGCCCGCCCGCTGATCCGCTGGCCTACAGCGCCCCACCCCTGCACCAGGCCGGGAGGGGGCCATGCCACTGCCTGCTGTGACCCCACCGCCTGTCACCAGCGCCCTATGATCCTTGTTCTGGCCCGTTGCCCGTGACTGCTGCGCTGCGGGGAGGGGCGCTTGCGGCCTGGCCCTAGCCTGCAACCTGTTGTGTATTCTTGGCGCTTCCCTACCTACCCTGGAATAGGCTGTAGGTGCCGACTGTCCCCTGCTGTCCAAGCCCCTGCTGGCTGCCCCATCCTCAGCGGAACCTGACTGGGTTGCAAGGGCCTCATTTACCAACCCCTGTTTCTGCCCCCTTTTTGCCCTAACTGCCCCAGGGGACGACTCACCGCGGTTACTCCGTCCAGCTGCCTGCTCCGTGCTCCTAGCAGAGCCTGCTGCTTGTAACAGGTCTGCTGCCTCTGCTGATACTGCGCTCCTCACCGCCGCCGGGCGGCGCGGCGCCATCTTCTCCTGACCGCACACCTCAGACTCTGCCTGACGGCCGTGGTGTGTGGTCGCCCCCGGGCCGCCACCTCCGCGAATCCTAGCCCGGCCGCCACTTCTCCTGGTGCAGGTTCCTGTCATGCCTGCTGACGGGCTGTGGCTCCTAACCGCGCCAGCACCGGCATCAGGGCTTAAGCGCTGTGGAGGCCTGGTCCGGCGCGCTGTCCTGCGCGCCGGCGCCGTCGACGGCCCTGCCGCGCTCAGTGCTGCCCCCAACTGCTGCTCCATCCAAGCTGCTCCATGCTGTCGGACCGCTGCCTTCACACCCTCCAGGATTGCTGTCATATCACTCTCAGCCAAGGAATCCATCTGAAAAACAAAGAAGAAAAAATCCCCACCAGAAGCCAGCAACAGCTAACAACAGGTAAAGATTTCAAATTAAAATGGAACCCAAATTTAAAATGGCGAATTATTATATGTCTAAGCCACTCCCCCTTTTACCCACTAACCAATCCAGACACACTCATCCATAGGCCAGCCTCCTAGCTCTGTCAAGGCCCATTCCACCTAGCTTTGCTATT